CATTATAAAGATATTCTTCCCTATCCTCTTATTCACATTATTAATTGTTATTTTCTGTGAAAGTTTTTCTTTTTTTTTTTTTTTTAAAAATTTTTTTTTTTATTTATTTATGATAGCGCCCTGGGCCAAAGGCAGGCGCCATGTGAAAGTTTTTCTAATGAAGGATAGAACATGATTGGTATTCTGAATTAGTGGTGTTGTGTATTGAGTTCTTACTGCATTACCATACACACCTTTATGTTACAACTTTAAAATATTTTTTGATTGCTGAATAATGTTTTGGTGTTTGGGGAAGAAAACATGAAGATCAATGAAAGTGATTTATTGTTAGCATGGAACAACTGGAGCCTGCAAGTCTCTCTTTATCATTAAATGTGGGAAATGCTGGTGACTTTGCCCTTTGGCCATTTGTTAAATCACATCTTGTTTCTAGGAATATTTGTTTATTAAATGAGTGACTTTTTGTGTAGAAGAAGGTACTTTAGTATGTAGACAATTATGATCGATAATACCTAGGGTTAGTGTTCATTATTAGTGAAATTAATTCTGTGCTTAATAATGACTAGGAATTAATAACAACTAAACCCCAAATTGTTGTCTGTTTTTAATGCCAGCATAGCTTTGGTTTATGTATGATATGACATTAGTGTGCTTAAAGCTAGTATTTCAGATTTTGTATATATATAAAATAAATAATCAGTGCTTGATCATCCAGGGATACAGTAATTGACCTAATACTGGTTTAGGGATCCCTGGGTGGTGCAGCTGTTTATCGCCTGCCTTTGGCCCAGGGCGCGATCCTGGAGACCCGGGATCGAATCCCACGTCGGGCTCCTGGTACATGGAGCCTGCTTCTCCCTCTGCCTATGTCTCTGCCTCTCTCTCTCTCTCTCTCTCTCTCTCTCTGTCTCTCTCTCTGTGTGACTATCATAAATAAATTAAAAAAAAAATAGTACTGGTTTAAAGGGACGCCTGGGTGGCTCAGTGGTTAGGTGTCTGCCTTTGGCTCAGGTCAGGGTCCTGGGATTGAGTCCCACAAGGGGCTCTCCATAGGGAGCCTGCTTCTCCCTCTGCCTATGTCTATGTGTCTCTCATGAATGAATAAATAAAATCTTAAAAAACAAAACAAAACACTGGTTTAAAAGCTACCACTAGGTAGCTAGCACATTTGCAAAAATTAAAATGATAAAACATCGAGGAATACATTTACATACTAGAAGACATCTGTTTTCTAGGACCAAAGGTACTCTGTGGAGGCCTCATTGTGTTTTTTGTGACTTAAGAAAGCCTCTCAGCCAACAGATCTGGACCTTCATGATTGGGTTCCTTCCTTTGGGGCTTCCCAGAGTAGGGCAGCAGCCTCTCACTGAAGACAAGAGAGTTGTTAGAGTTTTCTAAAGGGATTCCATGCCGAAAGAACTTGGAAAGAGGATGAGAAAGGAACAGTTAATGCCAAGCCACTACTGTTCTGCCTAATTCTGTCCTACTCGTGCGAAACAAAGGGAGTTCACCAAAACAAACTGCGAACTATTTCAGTAGTAGTCTATTGGATCACTTATCAATGAATGTGTTAGTACTAGGTCCTAAACTATTGTCAAAATAATTCAAGTACACTATTGGATAATGTTGTTGAATGGCAAATGTGTCCTTGAATATTGGATTTCATTTTGAATTTTGCATGACATGAGCTTTGTACAGAGTTTTTGCTTAGTTTGTTATAATTGTGATTTGGGTTTATCCATGTCAGTGTTGACTGGTTGTATATCTATGGCTTTGATCAGGGACTTTGAAACAGATATCAATGTAACAAACAAATTCTCGAATTATATAATTGTATATGTAAATTATTTTCAAATTTTAATATCTGTAGCACATTTATACTATTAGAACTCTGATGTCCTACTTGAAGAAATGTTTTTAGTAACAGCTTTATTGGGATATAATTCACATACTATGAACATAAATTGCCCTATAAAAGTGTGCAATTCAGTGTATTCTCAGAGTTGTGGAACCATCATCAATGTTTAATTCCAGAACATTTTCATGTCTCTGGAAACTCCATATCCATTAGCTGCACTCCCTACTTCCCCTCTTCCTCTAGTCTCTGGCAACCTCTAGTTTACTGTCTGCATGTATGAATCTGCCTGGTCTGGACATTGTACATAAATAGAGTCATACTGATGTGAAATGTTGGGGTCTGGGAGTGAATGGTCAAGAAAGAATTCTTGAGACATCTTTGGTGCCAAAAAGGGTGGTTTTATTAAAGCATGGGGACAGGACTCTGGGCAGAAAGAGCTGCACTGGTGGTATGAGGAGTGACTGATTATGTATTTTCAAGTTGGGAGGGGGCAGCATAAGTCTGTAAAGAATTTGGAAGCAAGGTTTCCAGGACCTGGAGGGGCTAGCTGTTGTTGTTAGGAAAATGTTATTTACTGCTGTCTAGTAAAGTCTTAGTCATTAGTCATGAGACTCTTCAGATGTGTATCAGTGGGCCATATGCTTGGATGTTGACTGCTAACATATCTTGGATGGGTGGGTAGAGATAGAAGAAGTTTCCAAAGGGATTTTTACAGGATCCTGGAATTCAGGCTAATGGCAAGCTAAGGTTGCCTTTTGCCTCTAGCAAAGTATTAACACTGAGACAGTTAAGTTCCTTGATGAAGGTCACTCTGTCTCAAGTACTTGTCAATAGGCTGTCAGTTATAAGGAAGTTCAATTTATTTTCTTTTGCCTTTGTTCTGTATATCAATGCCATATATGGCCTTTTGTGTCTGGCCTATTAGCGTGTTTTCAAGGTTCATCCATGTCATAGCATGTATTAATAGTCATTTCTTTTTATTGCCAAATAGTATTACCGGTATATGGATATACCACATTTTCTTACTCTATTCCTCAATTGATGGACATTTGGGTTGTTTCCACTTTTTGGCTTTTACAGGTAATACTGCAGTGAACGTCTGTGTGAAATTATTTATGTGTACATGTTTTTTTATTTTCTTGGGTATATACCTAGGAGTTGAAGTGCTGGGTTGTGTGGTAATCTGTGCTTAACATTTTGAGGCACTGTCAGACTCATCTGAAGCAAGTATGTTATTGTAGTCCCACCAGCAATGCAGGAGGGTTCCAGTTTCTCCACATCCTTACCAACACTTGTTATTGTCTGTCTTTTTGACAGACAATCCTGGTGGATGTGAAATGTTATCTTGCTATGGTTTTGTGAAGAGATTTTTAAAATTGAAAACTTTGTATTACAAAGTGCTAGCTATTGTAGCTTGTATGTTTTTATTTTTAAAGTAAATATTTGAGAGAATATATAAGAACAATAAATAATTAATGAAATAGTTTTAACACTGAAATAAGTGATAATTACAAAGAGTAAATGGAAATTACCATGATGTCTGAGCCTGACTTTTTAAAACATATTTCACTGTTAGACTGTATAAACAAAGGTAACCTCTTAGTTCATGTTTAAGATTGTCTTTTTTTGGTACCATATTCTCGTGTTCGTGTAAGTTGACTTGTAACTTGAAAGTGATTTCAAAATCATTACCAGGCTTTTTTTCTTTCCTAGAAAGAAATTTCTGAAATTTCTTAGAAATCCAGAAATCTTCTGGAAGATTTGAATATTTCGTTTTAAGATGGTGTGGTATTTCTTGCTCTCAGTCTGATGGAGGCCCCAAATGTGGGGCAACAACGGGATAGAAGCCAGTGGTGCAGGCAGAACAAAGGAGAGAGGAGATAGAGGTTTATTGAAATCATCGCAAAGGTGCGGCAGGACAGAAAGGGAGGGAAAGGAGAGAGACAGAGGGAAGGTGGGAGGTGGAGAGACAGGCAGACAAACATACACATACACGCAGAGTGAGACACAGAAACAAAGAGACAGATGTAAGTAGCCCATTGGTTAGTTAGAGCCTATGGATATTTTGATGTGAGTCTGTGGGTTACTATGGGCCCTTTCTGCATTCCATTGCTCAAGGCTGTTTGCCTAAAAGTGGCTTCTACAGAGATAGAAATGGAAATTACTTCTGGTAACAATACATAATAATATGACTCGTAAATTGGGGGGAAATGGACATTTAAGGACAATACTGTGTATTTTTTTTGGCATGATAAGCTTTCCTTTTCTCTCTGCCTGTTAACTGCTTTTTTTTTTTTTAAGATCTTATTTATTTATTCATGAAACACACACACAGAGAGAGAGAGAGAGAGGCAGAGGGAGAAACAGGCTTCATGCAGGGAGTCTGATGTGGGACTCCATCCCGGGTCTCCAGGATCACGCCCTGGGCTGAAGGCGGCACTAAACTGCTGAGCCACCCGAGCTGCCCTGTCCCACCATTTAAAAAAACTTATTTATTTAATTTATTTATTTATTTATTTATTTATTTATTTATTTATTTATTTATTTATTTATTTATTTATTATTTGATACAGAGAGTGAGAACAAGCAGGGGGAGCTGCAGAGGGAAAGGGAGAAGCAGGCAATCTGTTGAGCACAGAGCCTGATGCGGTGGCGGGGGGCAGGGGTGGGGGTGGGGGCTCGCTCTATCCCAAGACTCTGGGATCATGACTTGAGCAGAAGTCAGATGCTTAACCCACTGAACCACCCAGACACCCTTACACCCTACTTTTTTAGGGTATTATCTTTTGTTGAGTGTAGGAACAAGATAAGAATTATTCTCTTGTTTATTTTATTATCTATTTTTCTTTTTAGTGAGAGCATGTGCATGAGCTGAGAGTGAGGGGGTGGGGGAGAGAAATCTTAAGAGGGCTCTGTGTTGAGCATGGATGCAGGGCTCAGTCTCATGACCCTGAGATCAGAACCTGAGCTGAAATCAGGAGTCAGTCACAACTGACTGAGCCACTCAGGCACCCTGAATTATTTTCTTGTTTAAATTGTGTGGGAATTAAAAAAATAATAATAATAAATTGTGTGGGAATTAGAAATATCATGTTCTTATCTATATATCTATTTATTTACTTATTTATGTATTTATCTTTAGGGAGTGGAGCAACGGCTGTGGTCCAAGCAGCATATTGTGCCCCTAAGAAGGAGAAAGTGGCAATCAAACGGATAAATCTTGAGAAATGTCAAACTAGCATGGATGAACTCCTGGTACGCACATCTCATATTTCTTATGTGGAGAAATATACTCCTCTGTATATTCAGGGAAATAACTTGAAATTTTTGATTACTTTTCTTATAAAACGTATTGTGGTTTGCTCATTAAGTAAAGTTTATTGTAAAATTTATAAAAATCCAGGTAAATAAAAAAAATTAGTTGTAATCCTCTCATTCTGAGATTTGCACTTGCTATATAGTCTTTAAGATTGTGCAATTTAAATATTTGTATTTTTATGATAATGTAATCATTGTTCTTTTCATTGAAAAATTTATCGAATTCTTTCTGTGTCTATAAATATGAATTAACATGCCTTTCAGTATGTGTAGTATTCTGTTGTATAGGGAAGCCACATTTTATTTATAACCTATTTCTCATATTGGACTTTTTCCTGTTTTTATCATTTTCTTCTTTACTTTTCTCTTTCCTTAAACTAGTATCATGCAATTGTGATACCTGGTCAAATGGAATATGTTTTATTTAAAAAAATTTGTTTTGAAGTTTTCATCAATTTATTTGAGAGCACAAGCAGGGGGAGGGGCAAAGGGAGAGAAAGAAGCAGACTCTCTGCTGAGCAGGGAGCCTGATGTGGGGGCTCCATCCTAGGACTCTGGGATCCTGACCTGAGCAAAGGCAGACACTTAACCTGCTGAGCCACCCAGGTGGCCCTGGAATATGTTTTAAAAGGCCCTGGCTCGGGCAGCCCTGGTGGCCCAGCGGTTTAGCGCCGCCTTCAGCGCAGGGTGTGATCCTGGAGTCCCAGGATCGAGTCCCGCATCGGGCTCCCTGCATGGAGCCTGCTTCTCCTCTGCCTGTGTCTCTGCCTCTCTCTCTCTCTCTGTCTATCATGAATAAATAAAAATGTTTAAAAATAAATAAATAAATAAATAAATGGCCCTGGCTCCTAAGAATATGGTACCACCAATCTGCATTCTGATCCTTGATGCAAGAAGACAGGTACAGGTGGCATTGCCTTATCCAAAAGCTAGGGAAAAAGAGAAGAAAGGGAGTCTCAAGGATTAATAGCTGCAAGAGATATTCTTTGGCATTAAAAGCTACACACACAGGGATTATTTTGTACTTCTTTTATGAGCTGTGACACTGAGTTGTTTCAAGTATGTGGTAAGTGATCAGCAAAGGACATAGGATAAATTTTCAAATCATTTAACTTTGTAAATCCTCAGTTTCTTTGGCTTAAAATAGAAATATTAACATCTGCTTTATGTACCTCATGAGGTTTTTATTTTGTTTTAAAAGATTTTATTTATTTATTTATTTATTTATTTATTTATTTATTTATTTATTTATTTATTTATTTATTAAATTGGGGGAGAGGCAGAGGGAGAAAGAGAATCTCAAGTAGACTCCATGCTGAATGTGGAGCCTGATATGGGACTTCATCTTACATCCCTGAGATCATGACTTGAGCCAGCATCAAGAGTTAGATGCCTAATTGACTGAACCACTTGGTGTCCCCTTTGTGATGTTTTTCTTAAGGATCAAATGATCCAGTACTTGAAAATTATAAACTGCCATTCAGATATGAACTAATGTTATCTTATTAAGTATTTCTCTAAGATCATGTACAGCTAATGATAGAAGCGCAGGAGTTAGTAGCACTGGGATGATTTGACATTCCAGAAGTCTTTTCTACTTCCAGATTGGATTTAATTTCTGGTAGAGTCTGTACTGGGTATTAGGGAATATTGGAATAAAAGGAAAAGAGATAATAGAACTATACATTGAACTTTTAACATGAAACAGATGCATTTCTTCAGGAGTTAGTAGTGTATGAGCAGAAGCTGAAGAAGAAAGTGGCTAGAGTGATCTTGAGCCTCTGGTGAGACAACATACACTTAAAGGAGATGCTGGGCAGCCCGGGTGGCTCAGCAGTTTAGCGCCACCTTCAGCCCAGGGCCTGATCTTGGAGACCCGGGATCGAATTCCACGTCAGGCTCCCTGCATGGAGCCTGCTTTTCCCTCTGCCTGTGTCTCTGCCTCTCTCTCTCTGTCTCTCTTTCTCTCTTTCTCTCTCCCTGTGTCTCTCATAAATAAAAATAATCTTAAAATCTTTAAAGAAAGGAGATGCTGATGGAAGTCCTATGTAGTTATCTTGGATTTACAGATCCCTGCAACCCCTTAGAGCATTATTTGAATATTTGAACTGCAGTGATCATAAAAGAAGGCTGTAAATTATAGACAAATTGTTTTGAGGAAAAACCATTTTTTAAAAAAGATTTATTTATTTATTCATGAGAGACAGAATGAGACAGAGACATAGGCAGAGGGCTATAGACATAGCCCATAGACATAGGCAGCAGGCTCCGTGTGGGGCTCCTGATGCAGGACTTGATCCTAGGACCCTGGCATCATACCCTGAGCCAAAGGCAGATGCTCAACCACTGAGCCACCGAGGTGCCCCGAAAAACACAATTTTAAAATTAAGTTTATTTATTGGACACAGAGAGAATACACACAGGTAGGTAGAGCGGCAGGCAGAGGGAGAGGGAGAAGCAGGCTCCCCACTGAGCAGAGAGCCTAATGTAGGACTCGATCCCAGGACCCATGAACTGAGCCACCCAGGTGCCCTAAAAAACAGAATTTTTAACTTCTATATTAAGACTGGAATTTGAGAAGCCCAATATGAATTTTTATCTTTTGCCACTTACTTTATATAATCCATAAGGATAACATAAAGGTGAACGAAAGTCTTATTTTTTACCTCATGACTGAAGAAATGGAGGTTCAAAGTTTAAATAACTTGACTGTGTTCACATGATGGTGACAGCAAACATCTTTTTAATGATGGGCACTTAGGTGTATTTTACCCTCATAAATACCACCATGAGACAGGTGGTAGCTCCATTTTAGATGAAGTAAATCATATAATAAGTGACAGTCTGGATTAAAAATCAGATCTTTCTGAGTGAAGTCTATTACTTTCCACTTCATATAATAATAACTAGTTATAATCTTGGTTCGAAAGTAGAAAGAGCATCTGTTCTCAGATATTTGACATCTAGAACATAATATTTGTGTTATTACACTAGGGCCTTCCTTGTAAAGGAATGCAAATTTGGTGTAGCTTAGTGACAGCAAAAATGAATTAGACCCCCGTAATTTTGCCCATATAGTCCAGTAAGCTTTACATTACAAATACAATATTTATATATATTTGGCAAATAAGTGAAGTGGAGGGGGAAGTGACTTTTAGTGATTTTTTAAAAAGATTTTATTTATTTACTTGAGAGCAAGAGCATGAGCCAGTGGAGAGGGGCTCAGGGAGAAGAACAAGCAGACTCCATGCTGAGCATGGAGCTCCATGTGGGGCTCTATCCCAGAACTCTGGGATCATGACCTGAGCTGAAGGCAAATGCTGAGCCACCCAGGCACCCCTTAGTGAAGCAAATTTAAAAATAACTGGCTTTTTTTTTTTTTTTTTTTGGAGAGCAAACAAGTAAGATCCCACAGAAGTCTTTTTTTTTTAAGATTTATTTATTTATTTATTTATTTATTTATTTATTTATTTATTTATTTATTTATTTATTTATTTATTTATTCATGAGAGACAGAGACACAGAGAGAGGCAGAGACACAGGCAGAGGGAGAAGCAGGCTCCATTCAGGGAGCCTGATGTGAGATTTGATCCCGGGTCTCCAGGATCGAGCCCTGGGCCGAAGGCAGGTGCTAAACTGCTGAGCCACCTAGGGATTCCTGATCCCACAGAAGTCTGAAGAAACATTGGGAATATAAAGAAGGCTGGATTTTTTTATGGTGTTTATAGTGCCAGGCACCTGAGGTCTGAGTGAGAAGGGCTCTGTTTCCCAGATAAGAAACCCTTTAATTTATCTTAGAAAATCTATTAGATCAACATACCAAACTTGTGGGATTGTGATTTTATTTTATTTATTTATTTTTTCAAAATGGTCTCTGCTATAATGTAGAAAGGGTGCTAATGTGAACCAGGTTCTAGGTGTGTATCCTGTGTGACAGTTAGTAGTGAGGAGGCAGTATATTGCTCCTTTCTCTTGTCAAAATGTTTTCTTGTCTGACAACCTTTGCTAAAAGTGTGATGGGAAAATCAGCTGTCAAAGCTTACTACTACATTTATTTTTTCCAGAGATGTTACTCACAGGCACACTAAGCAGTGTTCTGAGGCTTTTCTCTTCTCTGGTAAATTCTAGGACTAGATTCATTGGACAGAGAGCTGAAGGGAATATGAGGAGGCTTAATATGTCTTTACTTTACCTGAAGGCTCACAATCTAGTTGAAAAGTTTGTTGTTTCCTGTACAAGGTTGAGCGTCACGTGCGCCTAGGAGAAATATTAAGTACTGGGAAGTAGGAGGAGGTGTGCTCCTAGTTACAAAGATGGAGGCCTCTGTAGAGATATTTGTGTTCTGGCCCAGCAGGGTTGAAGATGCTTTGAACCAGAGATACAAACCTTACCAGGCAGGGATTTAGAGTTAGGAAAGTATTCATTTTTATGTATATATTCATAAATACAAATGTAACCAAAACATTTTCATGAAACAATTCTTTTTTTTTTTTAAAGATTTTATTTATTTATTCATGAGAGACACAGAGAAAGAGAGAGAGGCAGAGACATAGAGGGAGAAGCAGGCTCCATGCAGGGAGCCTGATGTGGGACTCAGTCCTGGACCCAGTAGCATGCCCTGAGCCAAAGCCAGATGCTCAACCACTGAGCCACCCAGGCGTCCCTCATAAAACAATTCTTAATTATATTATGTGGAATGCACTCTGATTTTCTAACTTTATCTACTTAGTTTCTGTCGTGGCCCGTGTGGCTTTTGTAACCCATGGTTTAAAGGATGAGGCCACACAAAGAGTTAAGACTCTAAACTCAGGCAGTGACAGTGATATTTTATAGATGGAAGAATTGTTTGTTTCAGAATGAACATTCCATGAAGGCAGGGACTTTATTGTGTTCAGTCTGTATGAATGAATGAGTAAATTAACATTACTTGAGGACTG